AATTGAAATAAAAAAAATTAATTAACGTATAATTTTTCTAACTTTAAGTTCTTTATTGCAGCGTGGACAATCGAGATAAGATGATATAATATTTACTAGGTAGGTTAAATTTTAAATAAGTTTTGAAATTTAAAGAAAAGCATCATCAGCTATAGATTACTTCATCAGTAGTACAGAGAAAATATTATCCAGATGAACTAACTAAATATTTCATCAATCAAAGCAAATGCCACTTGGCTTAGATCACATAATTAAAGTGTTTAAAATAAAAATATATGATTTTTCGTGCTCCCAGTAAGTACATAGTTTTATATAGTTGGTGGTGTTAACTTCAATATTTCACTATAACAGAAAATTCTATAGCAATTATGCCGTTTAAAAACCGGTATATATTTATTAATGTGNTTCAAATTATTTACAAAATTTCCAAGTGCTTGGTGACTGTGTATATCAAACTAAATTTTTTATTTAGGGCTGTAGGATTCCCAAAAATAGTAGCATAATGCTTTTTTTTAGTTTATTAAAAACATTATAAAATTGATATCGGTTTTTAAGAACTAATAAATCTAGGCCCATAATTTTGTAATTGATTTAGACATTACGCAATATAGAAAAAGTGGTTTGAAAAGTTTTAAATACTGAATTTTGAAAATGTTATTTTCCCGCCCTCGGGTGATTTTGGGAGGCTGGTACTTTCTCGGGCGAGAAAGCAGTTTTTCGGAACTCGTTCAAAAAGTCTTCTTTACGAACCTCGTTACGGACATCGCCTTCGGCTCGGGCCGCAAACCTCTCGGTTTGCAAACAAAGACTTTTCAAACTCGTAGGAAAACTTCTAATATGCTTTAAAATATTTTAGTTTTTTTTTTAAATGGTCAATGTGTGTGTATCAAATGTTTATAACCTAATTTAGGACAGGTAGCAGTAATAAACATGAGCTGGCGTTGATCAGTATAACAGCTCAGTTGCGCAGCAACTANATTTTTCGTGCTCCCAGTAAGTACATAGTTTTATATAGTTGGTGGTGTTAACTTCAATATTTCACTATAACAGAAAATTCTATAGCAATTATGCCGTTTAAAAACCGGTATATATTTATTAATATGCTCAACAAAAATTTAAATAAAGTTTAGGTGCTATATCGAACGCACTTTTTAAGCTAAAATATGCTATCTTGTGTAAGAAATGTACGGACGGAAATATAATTTCTTGAAATTGAGTTTTCATGTTTATGGAGTAATTAGTTGAATAATTAAACATTTAGACATGTTATACATGACGTGTTATATGGGAAGAATACCATTATAGTTCTATTTTTTGTTAATAATCTGAGGAACTCTAACTATTTTTTATAAAGTTGATCAAACTTTTAATTAAGACGTCAATATAGTCATATGAACTTGATACATGTAGGTTGAAGCTTAGAGTTTTATGGTAATTAATTTCGTGGGTAAAGTTAAGTGAAAGCTACTTTTACTGAGGAGTTTAAAGAGTGATATCCAATGATTGTAGTAGTAATTTAGTACGATCCGGTTGGAATTCAGAATTTCGTAGCATCTGAATTCAGTTAAATTATAATGTTATCAAAAACGTGTATTTTACGACATCATTAGTATAAGAGCTAGTACGCTGACAGAAAACATCAAGGTAAATTATATAAAAAAAAATTTTGTTAATAATTTCACGATGGATCATTGCCCTTTTTATGTCTTGTTTATGGTACATGTGCTTCCTAATTTTTAGTTATATTTTTATATTGATTTACTTTACAACTTTCAGTGCCTTCTTTATTTTTGCTGTTATAGTTTGACATTGTTAATTATTTCATGGTAGAAAAGTAAAAACGTATTTTTACAAATAAATCTCTTTGATCCCTTACGAATCCTAAATGCCACCAGTTTAAAGATGAAATGTTATTTAATTTAAATTTGACTAAACTCAGGTTCTTGCAAAACTATTTAAAGTGTGACTCAATCGTTAAAAAAAACTTGAGTACTGCTAACAAAGCGTAGCTTAATAAATTCTTATTAATTAAAATGTGTTGCTAAGCGGATATCAGTGATAGCGACTGTTAAAGCAGCACAAGAATATGGGCAGCTCCAACGTAGTAAAATCTTGCCGTTATTCTCACGTCAGTCTACTACAGACTGTTCATTTGCTGTCTACACTGAATTTTTAACGCATGAACATTATTAGCTGGTGATTTATTACGCATTTTCACCTTTTTTTGTCATTGTACATAGTTTTGTGATCCGTGTTTTGTATTGCTTGTAATCCGTGGTTGTGACATTTAACCATGGGAATTTTAAGTAACTCTTGTATGCTAGTTGGAAAAAATTCAAAAGGAGTGATTCAAAGACTTCCAGTATGGCAGGGCTTGGTCTTGATGCAGCTCCTTA